CAAAAGAGCAATTTTTGTGATATGATTTTACGATTATATAATGAAAAAATTCTTTTGTTGATGAAATGAATCAATTTATTATTTGTTTCACTTGCCAAAATATTTTTAAAATATAATAGTTTAAAATTTTATTTATATTTTTTACTTGTTTCTGTTTATTGAATACTATATTTGTTCTGTTTATTGTATCTAATACCATATATGTTTTTAATATTATAGATCTTAACAATAGAAAACTAAAAGGAAGGTTACAAATTTTTTTTAAAGATTTGGAATAGTCTACGTATATAAAAAAAGGAAAAAATCAATGCGAATTTTTTTTTATGTATACATAACTTACTCCGAACAATTTGTTTTATTCGAAATGGTTAATGAAGAAAAAATACACTCATTATATTTTTGTTCTTACAAAAAATATTTTACTAAATTGAAATATTAAATGATGATTAATGTAAATTTTTTAAAATTATAATTTAAAATAAAAATGAAAGTCGTTCTTTTTGATTCGTAATTTTACTTAAATGTTGGTATATATTTTATATTTATACAGAAATATTTGAAAAATAATAACGCATTTCGACGACTCGTGGACATCCGCAAGACACAGTACAGCTCGATTTTCTAACCAACTTATTCAAATCTTGACAGATTTTATTGATGCCACTAATATATTCAATTATTTCATACATTGCAGTTTAATTCTATATATTTTTTACAATTTCTTTCTAAATTTTATAGATGTTTTGTAAAATTGTTTAAAATCTATTTAGGAAATACATCGAATGACATTTTAATTTCAGGACGAGAGAAGATGTGAAATAGTGTATCTATAAAATACTAACAATTCATCAGCATTAATATAATATGAAGATAGATAACTATGTAATTATACAGTGATCGCATGTAAAATGAAATTACTAACATGAAATAAAAATCAAATCATATTCAAACAAGATTAATCATTAACTAAAATGAAACAATATCAAACAAAATCCATTACCTTAAATAGAACTAAAGCAGAGAGATATTTGTAGTAAATACTGTATTATTCTCCGTATAGAAAATAAACAAATTGCTCACATTTAGTTAAATATAATGCTTAAGATTCATTTAAAGATACATCATTAACATTCTGGAGTATATCAAACATAAAATTCACGATTTAGGAAATTTCTCTAAACTAAATGGTAAATTCGATAGTTAAAATGAAAAAAAAATACACAATTTATCATAGAAAATAATAGCATCATTATATTCTTTTATTTGTGATTTTATCTATATGTTTTTATTTTTAAAATGATAGATGATTTGAGAAGACATAGAACAGTTTTACGAAATTTAAATGAATAAATTTCTAATATTTGTTACTTTTATAATACATTCTTTCTTGTCTTAGATTCGTCTTTCTATCGACCGATGAATTCAAAACCAAATAACAAATCGATGAATTTTGATTTTCGTACGGTTATCGATATCGAAAAAAAATATATAGGCCTATATATATATATATTTTTGTTTTAAATATTTATTTTCGATATTATTTATGTTTCAATATGGGCAGAGAGCTATCTTATTCAAGAACTAAAATTTTTCAACTCAACTAAAACAAAATTTTTCAAGTAATTTTAAAATATAGATATATAACTTTAGTTTGCATATTCTATACAAGTAAACCACACATCTTATAAAACGGTTCATTAATTTTTCGTAAACAGGATAAGAATATATACAGAAAAATTTATTTCACATATGCAATTAATAATTATTCATCGAATAATAAAACTAAAGAGTTAGTTGACAACAATTAATAGCAATGATTTAAAATCAATATTTCTACAAGTAATTTCTCTTGGGATATCCAGGAATGAAATATATTGAAAAATCAAAATCAATAAACAAAATTTTATGTTTAACAAGACTGACATGTTATATTGCACAATCTATCTCTTTCAGCTTCAATACAACTTTCCTTATTTTTTCCAGAAACTAAAATCAATTATTACATATAATTCAAACACTCACAAAGCATACTTGGATTCATATGCAATTTGCCGAATTGATAAATAAATAATAAACTACTTTAGTAGTAGAGAACAGGCTGCATGAATAGAATGAGTAGAAAGCGTGAAATACTAATATATTGGTATTCAATTTCCGACAATGCTATGCCACTAATCATGTCACAAAGCAGAGGAAGTGAAATCGGGCGTTAGATGTTGACGTGGCTAATTATTCCAACGAGCTATGAAAATCTCTTCCGGATACAAATGTGTATTTCCTATTCTGTCCCTATTTCTCACAAATTGCTTTTTTGTGAGGCGATTAGTAACATAGCATTAACGAAAATCAAATACCGACAAATTAGCATTTCACGCTTTCTATTCGCTCTATTCATGTACTCAGGTATCCTTTCGTACTAAATCGGTCATGCTCTACAACTTGGTAATTAACATTTTTCCGTATTGTGCATCGTTTTTAGGGCAGGACATCCTCAATAAACTATCTTAACGAGATAACTATACAGTATAAATTAAGGAACAATCTTATATCATATACAATGAATTGTAATTTGAATTTGTTGTTTGATCAAGCATTCAGTTTTAACATCACAATGCTATCGTTTGCATATAGAAGAGAAATTAATTTAGAATTATGTATAATTAAACTCCCGGTATTCACGAAGATTAGGTTCCTTGGAAATCTTACGAATACCAAATAGGAAAGTCTATGAGAAAATCGAGTTAGGTTCCTGCCAGTCGAGCAATTTGGCTAAACTAAAGCACGTTGCTGTCTCGGGTTTATTTTTAAAAAATGATTCAATAAGCAAGTAATAACATGTAATGTTTATTTTATTAATATTATTTAATATATGTTTAGCCTAATTATATTAAAACATTATTCTTCCATTTTAAGATGATTGCGGTGTAGTTACAACAGTTTGAAAAACAACTGAGTAAATGTTGCTTGACGGACTTTTTTTATTCGTGTCTTTCAGGATTTTACCATACGGGAATCAACTACTTCCAAAGCTCGCATAAACTTGAGATTGCGCTCAGGAATAGAATGTGATTTTTGCAAATCCTTCCAACAGTGCTGCTTTATATTTTTGAAAGCTGACACGTTGTAATTGACAGCTTTAGCATTTTTCCTGTTCATCATCTTCCTCTTTTCTGTCGTAAAAATTTTCTGCAACCATCATGTTCAGTTCATTTGTGAGTTCTGCAGCTTTCTTATATAGTATATTCTCAGAATTTTCAGTCTACATTACTCAAATCCTTCATCAACTATCTGTTTTGCCATCTTTTATATTATTTATATTGTATGGAGCTACATATTTACTGCATATAGTCTCATTACATAATTATGACATAAACTTTGTCAGGTAGCCTAAGATTTGCCATAAGGTATTGTGCTGTAAAGTCTTTTAGTAGTACAGTAATTACTGTACTTTGATTATATCAAACAATGTAAAAACTGGATATAACAGAGTAGTTTTTTACAACTACTATATTGTAATAGAAATATTGTAAAAGTAATTTGCGAATAATCATGTAGTTGGTCGCAACTTTTTAATAGCGGATAAACAAAAGCGCAAATATTAAATACTCGAATATCGAGAGTTATCTGTATCTATAAAATAATTCGACGTAAATAAAGTTTATGTAAGGGATAATTGTAATATGTATACTAAATGATATAAAATTGAATGTTATTTTCATTTGATAATTTTTCCCATTTGCACTTCTTTTTATTCCTTTCTCTCAGTATTTCCCCAATATGAACAATTTAAGAACAGTTGATTTCGTTCCAAGAATAGGCATTTGGGCATACAAAATGGGATTTGCCGGGTTGTAAAAGAAACTCTAACTATTCGGAAGAAAGTTTCTGAGTTCACATAGACTAGCGGTCAGATCCTCCAAAGTAGCATACTGATATTAATATCATCCGATTATCTAGTTATTTTCAATATGTATTGCTACATATCTTTCTAAAGTTACAAATACAAGCCAATATATTTTTATATGCCACGAGGCTGGATTACTGCTATTTTGAAACCGAACAATTGTTGTTAATATTTCGAAACATAGAAAGACTACGAAATAGCATATATTAACGAATATTGAAAAATTGCAGCCATAATTTTCAATAGCACATAGCAGTTAAATATTAAATTTAAAATCTTTAATAAAAGAATTAAATATGATTCTGTATTCTTATATGTTTCTTTGCTTCTATAACGTATTATATTACCACATTTAATTTATTTATTTAAATATGTCCGCATAATTAAATTTACCTTTATTATTGATTAACCTTCTAGTATTTACTCTTTATCTAAAAAAATCAAATCAATGATTCAGATCGAGAGTAGCTTTATTAAAAACTAATTAATTCAAAAATAGCATCGTAAATTAATTATATCCATTTACTCGGACGTTTTTAACGAGTTATTTGATTTCCGTAAGGATAATATCATTTTAATTAAACACACCAGCAAATAAAACTCGAAGATTTAATATATTCAAATTGTTTACTTTAAATATCGATACAATACTTTTTGTTAAAGTTAGAACATCTACAGCATGAAATGGCTATAAAAGTAATTTTGCAGAGATATAAATCAAAATAATAGTTTTAGTTGACGCGTTGATAAATAAATCAAGTTAAAGTAAACTTATATTTGTCAGTTTGTTCTCCATAGGTAATATTTTTACTGAAATGATACTATTTTTTACTGGAATTACTGTCTGTTCAGCAAGAAGATAAATATAAAACTGTTTATAAATAAAAAAAAATTGTTTATTTAATATATCGCAATATAGAAAATTTGTATTAATAAATAATTTAAGTATTATTTTAAATTGGAAAACTAATTCATTTCTTATTTTGAAAATAAATTTTTATTTTTTACTTATTTTTTACATTCTTTTATTTATAATTGAAAAAAATGCATAATACATACATAAATACAAGATTAAATTTTTAAAATTTACAGATTCATCAATAATTTACACAAATTTAAATAACAGACTCGATACATGGAATTTTATTCGTTTTTAATTCTTCAATTGAAAAAGGTGATTTGATATTATAAGTATTCGTAGGAAGATTATCACTATTCGTGCTCTTTAGAGAAGATAATACTGTTCCTACGGAATGTCCAAACCTTAAAAGTTCTCTTCTTATATTAGTATTAAGCCAACCGTATAAAATAGGATTCGACGTAGCAGATGTCATAGCAATTATATGACATATAGCAAAAGAAAGATAAAGGTTGTAAGCTGACATACTAGTTGGATGAAAGTCTGCAACTAAATTAACAACATTCCAAGGTAACCAACTAGCAGCAAAAACGACAGTAATATTCATTAAGACCATTGTTGCTCTTTTATTTCTTCCTAATTCTTTACGAATTTTCTCATAATCTTTACGAAATCCAGCAAAAGTTTGCTGAAAAAGGGTAAGATTTAAGTGAGATTTAATTCTGAAGTGTGTAATCACTAATACTGTTGCGGGAATAATGAACTGAGCCAGAACAATTATTATAGTATAGGTGCTTTTTGTAAAATTGGAAGGCCAGTGCTCCACACAGCGTTTGTATATAGCAATACCAGGTAGACCAACAGTACTGACAGTTTGAGAAAAACATACCGGACTGGAAAGAATTATCGATATTATCCATATTACAAAAATAAAATATGCTATTCTTTTTTCTCTGTCTTCTCTTTTCTGCGGTACGCGAGATGTAACAACGTTATATCTATCGATAGCAATAGCTGATACTGTAGCTGCTGACACAAAGACCGTAGAACCTTGAAGGAAAGGTACAATTTTGCAAAGGCTTTCATCTAGAGGCCAATGGCGTTTTACTAAAACCAGTGCAGTGAACGGCATGCAAAATATACACAATGTGATGTCGGTAAAATTTAGATTTACTACGAGCAGATTACGATTTGTTCTTATTTTATTACGAAAGATGGCAACGGTCACTAATAAATTGCTAAAAATTCCAGATACCATTAAAAATGCATAACACACTATTATGATTATTTCCGTATTCCTTTCAAATATTCTATTCCTCTGCATATATTCCTCTAGAACCATCGACACTTGGTTGAAACTGAAGTTAAATAAAGCAGAACGACCTGTCTTGTTTGCGAATGCTTCCATTGTAAGCATCTGAAATGAAAATTGAGTTTAAATTTAAACCTGATTTTTTTCAAATTCCTAATTTTATCTTTCTCTTAAGTTTAAGAGCTATTATGATATTTTTATTATCAAATTAGAAGTAAAATTATTATCAAGAAAAATTTTTCTCATAATTAAAATTACAGATTCACTTATAATAATTTTACATAAAATTTTCATTATATATATCTACATACACACAGAATATTTTTCTTTAAATAATTCTTAGCCCTCTGTTCATTAAATAAATAGCAAAAAAAAACTAGCAGGTAAGCCCGGCGTTTTCCGGTAGAAAAATACGAACAAACATTAAAATTATATTATTATTAGCTATCATTATCAATAAACATTATTTCCTACTTTTACACTTTCTATTGTATTATATCATAGTATATGATTTATATAACTACAAAGGTTATCTTACGTAAGGATTTATCACACCAAGTGAACAATCTAAAATATTTTAAATTTTTTAAAATTTTGTACAGTAGAGAGCAATAAAGAATTTTTAATTTAAAATGTATTAGATAAATATTATTACTCGGTAAATATTAAACCCTTACGTAAGATAACCTTTGTAGTTATATAAATCAAATACTATAATATAATAAACATTAAAACGAAACAAATATAAAGAGTTTGATTATTTCTGCCTACCATTGTCACGTTTATCGCGATACTTGAATGGTACGAAATGACACAATTTCAATGGTCAAGTAGACAGCAATTGAAAATACGATATCTTAAACAAACAAACATCCTCATTACTACGGGAGTGACTCTGAAAGTTTTGTAATATTAAAATAATATAAGGCCTGAAACAAAATATTTTTTATTTATGATCAAAGTACTCTTCTGTGGCCAAAATTCACTTATGTAGTTGCTCCTCCCGAAGATAAAAACGCCACTCATTTTCTGGAATGATATCAAAATACTCTGTTAAGGAAGCTTCAATTTCATCCTCTGTGTTAAATTTGTCACTCCTCAAATATTTTTTGAAATTAAAAAATAATCAGAAGTCACATAATGCCAAATCTGGTGAATATGGCGGATGTTGAATAGTTCTTATATTATTAGCTTGAAGGAAATCAACAACCTTCTTGGCAGTATAAGTTGAAGGATAATCACATGCAAAATTTGACCTCAAATTTTCATTGACTCCAGAATTTTAGGAAGATAAACTGTAGTATACCAATTAGCTATTGCTGTCTTCTGTTCATCAAGAAACTACTATAAGAATGTCACATGGAAGGAAGTACTACACCTCTGAAATTTTTTGTATTCACCTGAACACAATACTAAAAGATAAAGCATCATCCTTAAAAGCAATTTCAACCCTTTATAACAGTCTTTGTCATTCAGTCTATCACAAAAATCATAGTAAACCATTTCACAAAGTGTTTCTCTAGAAAGTTCCATTGTTACTATTACAAAGGGGGTCTATCTCATTTAGATTAACGGAGATTGATAAAATTTGTTTATACATAATGTGTCATATGAAGTTTATTATTAAAAAAATAAACACTTTAATTCATTACAAATGGTTTACTTGTATTGCAAAACTTTCAGAATAACGCTCGTATATACATATAATGCAATTTTTTTCTTTTTTAAAATAATTTTATTTATAGATTCCCTAGCTTTACCTAAATCTTAAATATAATAATAATCGAGAGCCTAATATTATATATAATAAATGTATGTAAAGTGACCTAAAAGAGATATGAAAAATACCTTCAAAAAATGTGAGACAATGCACATAAAAAATTGAAGACGTAAAAAATAAAATAACATAAATTCAAGAAAAAATAAATTTAAAATATTTATAAAATTTTGGAATAAAACTGAAATTTATCAAAGTAATTGAGAATTTTAAAAAAGAGCAGTTGTTTATTGTGATATCGTCACAATGCCGGGATGGCTGTAATTTTTTATCATATTTTTAATTTATTTATATTATTATATTATATAT